ACAATATATTTCAATTTGATAGATTCTTTTTTTTTCTTTATGTTTTATGACAAATATACATGAAATTAATGGATAATTGGATGATTATTTTTGTTACATTAATTGTCAATTTTAAATTTGAATCTGTGGCTGATAGGAGGACTATCTGTTTCCTACAATTTTGTTACAAAAAAGAAACAAAATACCTTTAATAATTAATTACAATAATAATTAGTGCATTTATACTCACTTGACGATGAATAAATACGACAGAACCGAGTAGTCGCCATGTTCCACCTTGACGATCAACATGAAGCATCCGAAGTATTTGCAAAAATCTTATACCCCTTATCGCGGAAGTGGCAAAAACTTGACCATTGCTACCAACCGAGAGAACCACCATGGATGCCACCACGACGATTAAATCTACACAACAATAATAATATTAATCAATTAATTAAAATATCAAAATAAAGAAACAATACACGAAAATAAAGAAAACAAACGTGCAAATATAATTCAAAATATTAAAAAATTATTATCTATGATAAATATTGTACGATAATTACCAATTATGGTGTTAATATGGAAAAAATAAGAAAATTAATTGAATCCTATTTTTTATTGTCAACTTATTCTAATAATTCCAATGATCATTCTATTTCTCTCTCAATTAAATCGTAACAATCGGTATTATCCTGATTTCGAAAGAGAGTAAAAGAGAAATACACAGATAAATGGATACAGAATGAGAGAAGTGGTTGGGGGGTTGGGCTGGGGTGAGGGGGAAGGGATAGGGTTGTTATTAGGGCTGATTCATTGGCAAGATATTTCGAGTTAATTAATTAAAATCATTATTATCGATCGATACGCACTATAATATAGTACATTCACACACACACACACATATATACACATACACATACACGCAATATATCCAATTAATATTCCACCTTGATTATTAGCCGTTTAATAATCAGGAAGCATTCATTTTCCTCTTGAAACCAAAAGCTTCGTTGTGTTTAATATACATTGTATCATTCTCTCAACCTGTTTTCATCCCCAATTACCAACCCCCTCTGTTTTTGTTCTATATATATAGTAGATCTAATTTATTTAGGTTAATCTCATGTTCGGGGAGAGTCAAAATGTGATTTTTAAACGCGTTCGAAGTATTTATTTGTCTTTGAATTTCATTTTCTTTTTTTCTTTTTTATTTGTTTTTTGTTTGTCTTTTAGGGAATTTTTGATCGTTCGTTGGATATTTCGTTAGAATCGTTTAAAATGATAAAGAATTAAAAGTAACCATTATAGTGCAATAAAAGTGGAATTAAATTTATGGAAAAAAAAAAAAAAATTACGTTTCGTACGTGGCTCGTTTAGATTTTGTGTGTGTGTTGTGTGTCTTTATTTTAACGTTCTCGGTTGAATTAAATGACCAATTGGAGCTTGTGTACGAAACTTTTAATACTTTAAAAGAGGAAAATAAAAACAACACAGTAGGGAAGTAAAAAAAAAAATTGTTTGAATATAAACAGGTAAAACCTTGAGGGCATCGTTCCACGAGAGATATATAGTATTGATTATTATCTTTTTGTTTTAAAAGAAAGTGGGGAGTGGGTGGTTGGGGGGGAGTTTAACGTTGACCCGAATCAACTAATCGTTTTCTCAAATCTCGATTTAGATTATAAAACAATAGAATTTTTGATCACAGTCCCTTTTCGTTCTACATAATATTTTTGTCATATTTTCTAATTAAATTAATCAATTATTTTAATTAAGAAAAAAACTTATTCATTGATTTGTTTAAATATCTCAAATTGTTATATCATAGAAATGAATGAATCATTTTATATAAAATTAACAATCATTTGTGTGTGCTTGATATTGTCTTAAAGTAAAATCCAAATTTCAGAATCACACTTAGTTATAATCAATATTAAAGATGAAAAAAGAAAATGAAAAATAATAAAAATGCACACCAATATAATTATTTATATTATTTT